CTTTGTGGCTACGTCGACAAAGACTTATTTCCAGAGCCTCTTGGGCGATACTTCCACCGACTACCTGGCGTCGGTCGCCAGCTGGGCAGACTCGTACCGCGTGAGTCCTCCAGACACATGAAATTGCCATGCTGGGAGAGCTGGGAGCGTCTGACCTTGTATGAGAACTATAGTACACCACAGCCGGCAGCTTCTCCTCGGGCTACCACTACATTGACGCGCAGGACAACCCGCCGTCGTCGTGCGGCGTGGACCTGGACCGGGACTGCGCCGACGGCTGCGTCGTGAGCGCCATCTCCAACTACACGAGCCGCGTGCTCAACACCAAGCTCAGCACGGCGGACCGCCAGATCGCCGCCAAGATGATCATCCACTTCATCGGCGACATTGGCCAGCCCCTGCACTGCGAGGAGCTCGAGTCCGGCGGCAACGGCATCGACGTCACCTACGACGGCGAGGACACCAACCTCCACCACATTTGGGACTCTGAGATCCCCGAGTCCGTGTCGGGCGGCTCTTCCCAATCCTCTGCCAAGACCTGGGCCACTACACTGACGACTGGTATGTTTTTTCCCCCGTAAATTTCTCTGTGTATATCTTGTTAGTTCCGCGATGAGAACTTGACGTGCTAATGATGAGTGACCACAGCAATCAAGTCGGGCACTTACAAGTCCGAGGCAGCCGGCTGGGTCGCCGACCTGGACATTACGGATGCTGAGACGACTGCCACTGGCTGGGCCTCCGAGTCCAACGCCTACGTCTGCTCGACCGTTCTCAAGGGTGGTCTCACTGCAGTTGAGAACAAGGAGCTCGACGGGTCGTACACGACCACGGCACAGCCGGTTGTCAAGGAGCAGATTGCCAAGCAGGGATACCGTCTGGCCAAGTGGCTTGACGCTATTGCCTCTGCTTAAAGCAGATGAGCAGAGTCATGTGTGTTTTAGTGACGACGGGCAGCGGCGGGGGATATACCATATAAGTAGTACATATAAGCAAAATAACAGTGATATTGTCAATCTGGCTGAGTTGATCCACTTCCACTTTGCACGTGAAAAAAAGCTTTGATATGATTGTAAACTATTTGGATCGGGGTTTTGAATTCTAAGCTGGGTATAAAGTGGTGGATGACACACATCTCTTATTATACTAGAATACATTTGTACGGATGCAATGAGAATCACCGAACAAGAGGCCAAGGTCGACGCTTCCCCTTCCATTATTTCTATTTCTACGAGTCCATCGCTTGTCTCAACATGGGAGCAACCTGTTTGCGACTATTCTCAACCTTTCCCTGGGTCCAACATTTCCGCCACGCGCCTCCATTCACGTCGTCTAGCTCTCCACCTCTCCATGCGTTCAGATCCAGCTTCTGTCTATACTCCCGCTCAAAACGCTCCGCCGCCTCGACGCCCTTTTCCGATCGCGCAAGTAACATGAGCTCACGACTAAAGCTGCCCCCCTCGGCCTCATCCTTGAAGGCAGTCATGACGGCCACAAGATCAAGCTTCTTCTCGTCTCCCCATTTCTCGACCGCCTTTGCGAGTTGTGCCCCGCCGCCGGCCTTGTTCAGCAGATCGTTAAAGGAAGCCGGGATCGACGACGTGCCGAGCTTGAGCCCGCGCTCGTCCCACTCCTTGTAGTCCTTGCGGAGGACGTCGCGCATCGAGAGCGGCGAAATGTCCTCCTTGAGCCTGGCCAGCGCGGCAAAGTAGTCGCTCCGGTCCAGCAGCGGCGGGCTGCTGCTGCTCCCATCATCAGTCGCGTTGACCAGCTTGCCCTCCAGGTACCGCACCGCCTCGACGTCGTACGCCGTCGTCTTGGTCTCGGCCTCCAGGTTGGTCGTGTCGATGACAATGGGCCCGAGGGCCAGCGCGGCCAGGTGGGCGTCGATCTTGTCGTCCGAGGCAGAAGCGGCGGCGGCGTCGTCCCGAGAGGAGGACTTGAGCTCGTCCCAGGCTTCCCGGCAGCAGTCCACGACCAGGCTGGCGCAGCTGCCGCTCTGCTCGAGCACGCGCGGCGAGGCGTCGCGGGGCACGCGGCCCTCGTCGGCGTGGTGGTCGATGCAGCCAATCACCCTGTCGGCGTAGCCCTCCAGCTTGCCCGTCAGGCTGTTGTGGTCCACGAGGAGCCAGTCGGCAGATGACGCCGCCGCCGCCGCCGACGGCAGCAGGTCGTCCAGAGTGATGACGTCGTCTGGCGACGCCGATGCCCGCCTCAGGACCTCGGTGAACTCTGGCCGCAGACTCAGGTCATCCCGGGCCAGGTGGCACAGCGGAATGTGCAGAGTGTGGGGAGGCGTGTAAGTGCGTAGATAGGCTAGGAGCAGTGCCGAGCACAGAGAGTCGAGATCTGTATGTCGGTCATTAGAGCATAATTCAGTGCGAGACAAGATTCCTGTCTGACAATAATGACAGGATTTGAATTCATCTTACCGGCCGACTCATTTCCCACTACAAATGTCAACTTTTGCTTCTTGGAAGTCGATGTTGCGAGTGCCGATTTTGCACTCGCAAGGAACGCTGATAATGAGACGCGCGGGGCCATGGCTCAATGTACACGATTCTTCTGCAAGTAACGAATGTCTTTGTGAAAATGTCAGGTAATTCGTATCTGTTAGCAGATTGGATGTCCTTTTGAGTGCAGAGGAGCGACCCCAGAAAGAAAAGAACAAGGAGCCAAATCTGCTACTGCCTTGCTGCCGCGAAGTTGGATCATCACTGTGGAGGACATTATGCACCTATACCACATGATCCACCTTGATATATGCATATTTGTATCTCAATTGGTTCAATCGCGGCTGTATACAGACAAATCTTGCGAACATAGTAGGACTCAAAAGTAGTGTCTTGTAACATAGCTTATAGTAAAGTCCTATAGAACTAGACAGCTGAATTGACCTTTTGAAGTCACTTTTTATTTCCCATCTGCCCATCCGTTCCAATCTGAAAAGTGCAACATTTGACTTGCCCATAACCCAAGTGATTGTGGACATCCCCATCTCACAGCCCTGACTTCCCAAGTGCGATTACAATTAGTAGTTGCAGTGAGAAAGGGTGTCAATGGCCAGCGCAGTAGTGGCCGAGAGGGTCTGAGAAGAATCGACACCAATAGTGACATTCTTGAGCGCCCTAAAAGTGGTGGGCAGGACAGCCAGCTTCAATGCCGAGGGCGAAATGGCGCCGGCAGACGGGCTAAAGGCAAAGTAGACGGTGGGCGCGGGCTTGCCGTTGGCGTAGAACCCGGCGACGGAGATGTTGCAGGACTGCGGCAGGGTCGTGGAGAGGATGGGCGTGAAGAGGGTGCAGCCAAAGTAGAAGCTGGTCAGATCAAAGCCAATGGTGGGCTTGACGGCGGAAATGGTGCCAAACGTCTTCAGAGAGTCGGTGGCGAGGTTGAGAATATCACTGGTGAGGGACGCAGCAATGATGTTCTTCGGTGTGTTTGGAACCACACCTCCCAAGAGTTTCGGGGGTGCCTTTTGTTTTCACGTATGTCAGTGCAGAGCCCCCGCCGGTGATGAATTGGGGCAGATAGCGACTTACACCAGGAGAGAATCCATCGTAGTCGAGGCCGTTGTACACTCCGACTGGCTTGATGGAGTCTAGTAGGGTGGGAGCCTTGAGGTCATCGTAGTTGGCGACAAATTTCTTGGTGCAGACGGCGCGCTCCTCGATGACGACAGCAGAGGCTCCCAGGGCCAGGGACAGAGTGAACCAGGATAGTCTCATCGTGAATATGGTTATGAGCGGCCGGTGATAAGAAGTAGATGTGTTTGTAGGTGAAGATGTCCTGGGATTGAATAGAGCAGGATCATTGTGGTGTTGGCCTGTCCTTAAATACTTGGAATATGACTGCCAAGACGTTCTTCTCAGCAGTTGTCGACAAATCATTAGTGTCGAATGACCATGGTCTAGAATGAGATAGATCTTCAATTACTGCACTCCCTCTTGAGAAGCCGTCTCTGCAAAGGAAAGAAGAAGCAGATTCCGTGCTGCATAGTCCTCTTCCGTAAACCCGAGATTTTATGCTTGTCTTGGACTTAAAGCTGCATGGTAGCATAGTGTGTAACTATGGTGGTTACAACGAACGTTATAAGTGGTGAAAAAAGAAAATAGTATACGGAACTTTTGTCTGGTTCTAGAATCTCAGTTCATGTTGGTCCAGCTGGAAATATTCTCAATAGTCGCTGCCATATTCACTAGTGACCGCACCATGACTGTGTCGCCCGTATTAAATTGCTCCTCGCGCACAACATCGAAACATAAAATTACACTATGATGTTTTTCTTTTCGAATGTTTTTGGAATAATTCACGACCATGTTCGCAAGGAAGAAGTCACCCCTAACCGCGAAACCCTAGTCTTGAGAGTGAGTGGATGTGATTACTCTCGTTACTAGTGTCCTGATTTGTGATGTTGGGGGGTTTTCTTGCTCCATTATTGAAGAGAAAAAAAAACCTCAAAAGAAGACACTTAAAGCCGGGTGACAAGCGGTATCCCTGACGGCGGTGGTGCTGATAGTAGAAAGATGCATGGATCTTAAAATGTGTGAAAGTCATATTTCGTGCAATAGCAGTTTGATAAACTCAGAGTGCTTCAGCTCCACCAACCGAAAAACAAGCAATGGGGAAATCGATGGCTCAAGCACCGATCCACTAGGAGTAAGGAAATGCCAGATCATGACAGGAATTCAATCCATTGCCGACTTCAATCTTCGGTGCTCACTGGCTGTCCATGACACCAACCAAATAGCCGCCTCGTTGGACATTACACATCGTGCAATACTCAAAAGCCAGACGTTATAACGATAACACCGAGGCTAAAAGAGCTAGGATTGATCTTATATTATAGACCTGACCCATTGACTACTCTCACGCCCATATTTGGCAGGTTCTTGCATGAGTCGTTTTGGGAGTACTGGTCTTTGGAAGGATCATGTGGGGATCAGCTGCAAGCAGCCTTATTGTGCGATAAGAGCAACCAGCTCAACAACCGAATAAGCGCCCGCGTAGCGCAATGGTAGCGCGTCAGACTTCTACGATTATCTCTCGAGCATGATCAAGTTATCTGAAGGCTGCGGGTTCGACCCCCGCCGTGGGTTCTATTCCTTCTTCAGCGGTTTCTTTTTGCATTTTTGCGTGATTTGAACGAATAAATGCATATTCACGTAACAACCGAGATTCAAGAAATCAGCACCGAAAAATACTGGAAAGCAATAGCCAAGTTCATTTCAGCCAATCAGCGCCCGCGTAGCGCAATGGTAGCGCGTCAGACTTCTATAAGTCACATGAATTGTGAATGTATTGTCATCTGAAGGCTGCGGGTTCGACCCCCGCCGTGGGTTCTATTCCTCGGGCTTAACTTTTTGTCCGTGATGAATGGAAGGAACGTGGTATTTGATGTTGCCGCCAGGGCAAGAGGTATCTTTCCGACAGTATTCTTGGCTCGTGCATACCTCCAAACAGACTAGATATTGGTCACAGACGGGTGAGGCTGAGCAACGGCTCGGATGGAGCCACCTGATCTCATGGGACGGCATGGTCCGAAAGTGTGTTTGGTAACCTTTCCAAGACAATGCCTGGGGAATGTCTCAGTGGAAATGCAGACAAAGACAGACCGCCATGCACTGATTCACGGATATAGCCAAACGGCACATGTGAGCGCAATACCTTTTTCCCTACTTCAATCGCGACTGGTCAGCAAGAGCGGGCCGGCCCAGCTCGTGCTTCCCTGCTATCCCCGTTTGTCAGGGTGGCTAGAGTCAAACTTAAAAGTGCCTCAATGTCAAGGATGATTCGGTGAGAATCGACTTCAATAACGATCTTCTTGAAACAACATTACCCAGCTAGGCGAAGAAGAACACAACCTTTGGTCCTTTGAGCAACCTCATGCCTCACCATAAACGTCACGGTGTGGTAACAACATGTCATGCATCCTCCCGGGCCATTGGGCGGAATAAAACCTCCATCGTTCTATACAGCATCCCTGTGTCAGTGCCATTTATCCGTGACTGCAGCCGCAATTCATGTCTGCAGTGTGTCCTTCTTCTGGCATGATCAATGTGCTCGGAAACTTCAAGACATCCACTACACAACGGGAGAATGCTCGCATGACTCATACCAGCAGCCCAATCAATCTACAAAATACCCGCGGTCTCTCAATTCGATGCGTAGTTGATCGTGACTTCGTATCATCGGGTGGAATGGCAGTAATCGCCATGCTTCCAGTTGTCCAGTTTGATCTAGAATAGTTGATATCATGAAAGTGGCGAGTGAGACTAAAAAGCAAACCAATCCTCCAAACACCAATTCGCCTCCCAATGCTTGTCATTAGAAACATTATCAATAATTATGTGTCAAAGGTAATCGAGGAATACACCTTGTCACGTATTTGGTCTGTCCCAAGTATTAGTGGGCAACAGCATGTGTAGCACAATGCGGTGACAAACATACCTCACATGCCGCTCAACGCCTCGAATGCTGTGCCATAATTCTCCAGTGTACCCAAAATAGATAATATCCCTTGCTGAAGCCGTGATAGAAGATCGTTGGCCAGCGAGCCAGCGTCTGTGCTCCAAGTTGAGTACATGGTTTGCGTCTTGGCATGTACCATTAACAGTACATAGGCGCATTGCATGGCACAACAGGCAAATGAGGGCATCGTCCGTGGCGATATGACGTTTGAAAATGGCCCGATATAGGAGGGGCCATCTGTTACTTGGTTGATTGGATTTGGATATGGCATCAAGTCAAATGCCTGAGCAATACTCAAAGCTGACTTGAGACATATCTTCGCGGATTGATGGCTGCTGAAGGGGAATATCGGGGTCATGATGGATTGGTGGGACTGTCCGCCGTCGGAGGGCGATGATCGCATCGAATGGGCTGGTGAGGAGGCCGTGGCAGAACTGTTGGAATGCCCCGAAGTTCCGCTGAGGAGTGTGCTGCAGCAAGAAGGCCAGTGCCGCAACTCTTGACCGTCATTCTTGCCCTTCTCTTGTATTGGCCTCAGGTCACAGTTCTTTCTTGGAAAAACTGGAAGATCAAAGAAGGCGCAGTATCGATGAACTTTAATTCGTGCACTGTAGAGGTCAGATAAGGTCCCAGAGTTACGCGTCAAGCAACCTACCTATTCAATTTAATTCTTGTCATGCATCGCAAAGCTTGTGCAACCGATAGTTCGAACTGGTCTACCAGCTGGCTCGGTGGGCAGCCAGGCACTGAATTCTCCGACGCTGTGACGAGAGGTTCTAGCAGAATCTCGAGCTCAACCATTTTCTGATATATGTTGGTCATATCCCCATGTAACCTTAATGCTTCGTTCAGATCAATGACAAACTGGGTCGCTGTGAGAATTGCCTGCTGCGATTTTATAAACAAAGGCCAAGCCTACGTAGGGTTAGCTAATCATACAATGGAACTCCACTACTGCGCACTTACCTCTGCGTCTGTGGCAATTGTTGGCATCTTGGTCGTGAACGACGGCGTGAATATATCAAATGAAGGTTTCTGGGAAAATAAGTATAACGATCCAAAAACACGCACAGTGAAATTCCACGTACCATATTCGAGACAATCGAGGCCTGACATATGCAAACATATGTCATCCACCACACGCGCCGTCTCGCTTCGGAAAAGGCATCGTCCTCGTTGTACATGTGGAGCGACATGCCCATGGCTGTGATGAGAGCAGCATTGGCCCGGGACCTCATTCTCTTCAAATTGCCACGCTGCGAGTATTCATAGACACTTAGAATATCGTAAGCGACTACGCTTTCAAGTTCAAGAGGTAGGCTGGGATGAAACGGCGGCCGATTGCTGTATTCGTCGTCCGAATCCTCCAAAGCCCGCGAGGGCTCCACGGAAGACTGTGGGTTGTCGCTCTCGGTTTCGATAGTCTCGAAGGCTGATTGCGCAAGGAATTGAGCATACTTGCGGCGAAACAAGATTGATTCCTCCGCAAGAGGGTTTGAGTCTTGAGCGCATGGAATAAGTGCCAAGATGGCTGCGATGGCGAGTGCAGCTGGCGAGAGTGATTCGTTGATATCCATGGGCTTGCTTTCGAAGAGAAGGCCCGACTCATCTGGCAAGACGGGGGAGGCCGGCGGTGGCAGAATAGGGAAATAGGGATGAATCCAAATGTAGTACGCATTCAATCTACAGGGCATTAGTTGCCGTCTCTCAGAGCGTCGTAACATGGGATTATTGAAGTGCCACGCTCTTGTTGATCGTGACGCTTCTTGGCACAGATAGGGGGTTAAGGAATGCACTGCTCACATTGCGAAATCACTTGTATATGACCTTGCCATGGGACCAGCCTCGCTAATCGGCGGTGTCGTGGTTCCCGTGAAATTGGTCGTGTTGCTAAATAGCGTGTCGAACAGTGTATCACTATCGTTGATTACTTCATTGATATTTTTCAACCCAGCTCCTGGGTTGATGTAGTTCTCGACCAGAACTGCGCCGAGTATATTGATTAGAATCATCATGACGCCATCAGGTCCGAGACTTCTACTCACGGTTGGACGGCATGTCCACGTCTGGTGGTTTGGACTCGACAGAAGGAGCCACATCGTCTTCTGATGGGCGTTGCTTCTTGCGCACGCGAGGGCCGCCTCGCCGACTTGGCTTGTACTGGCATGGGCGGTCCCTACTCTTGCACTGATGGAGGAGTCAGATAGATGCGCGAATGGACTTGGGCAAGTAAATGGAATAATAACATACACTTGCACACGGGCTCTCACCCGTACAGCGCGTCCGCGAGGCTCGACTAGAGCTTGTCAGCAGCCGGCTCGCAAGATCTCATCCACTGCGGTAGGCGGTGGTAAAGTTGACGACGCCAACATCCATGGGTGATGCGATGATTGCATTCAATGGTACATCCATCCGTCAACCCATGAATGCGCGGCCGATAAGGGAGGGGGTGCGGAGACCAAGACCCGGAGCAACGGACCGGGTCAGTAGGCAAGCAAGCAAGCAATGCAATGCAATTGAACTTACCATGCGAGACAGGCAATCTTGACTGGAGGAGTCGCAAACTTCTTCCTTACCGCATTTGGCCCGTCCTGGGCGGACACGGCGGGCTGGTTTGTTATGGGCAGAGCTTGAACTTCGGCCATGCTCTCTCTCCTCTTTTCGCTTCAGCAGTAAGAGAGACAGACAGCAGCTCGGCTCAGCTCAGCTCAGCACAGCACTTCTGTCTAGGTTAGTTGGAGCCTGCAACGCCAGGGCCTGCACTGCAGAAGGGAGGGAACCGAATTGCAGATACTATGATGTCGTGATAAGTTCTTATGTAATCAGATCAGATCCCGAAAGCAAGCAAGTGTGTCACGAATGGACGTATGTGGTTGTCAGAGTTTCCATACGGGGTCGTGGGTTTTAAACGGGGGGTCCAAGGTAAAGGTCATCAACTGCCCATCAGCCTTGTGGTGCTAGAGATTGCTGGGGGTTCCAGGGCCAGAGAGGTGAAAAAAGCGAAGGAAGGCGCATGACTGTGCTTGCTTGCTGTTGCCCACCTCGATCCCGGGGGGCGCGACGGCGAAGTGGGGTAACTGCTCAGCTGTCAATTCGGGTATCGCCCTCATAAATGCTCATGGCTCATGGTTGGCTCCGGCCGTTCATTAGCACTATGTACGTATGTAGCATTTGCATTTTAGTTGTCGCTGTCCCCAGTTCTGAAACATTAGTCTAGGTCCCTCGTCCTTGCTGGTGATTGGTTATTGTTTAGTGATCACTCCATATCTGAACGCTGGCTGTGCCTATATATACTCCGCACACGATATATGGTATACTTTGTGACTGGCACATTATACTGGAATAGCGGCAGAGACGATAACGAGTAGATAAAGATAACAGTTCTGAGATTGCTTGCAAGTAAGTTCATGACAGAGCCGTCTACCATACGTCCCCGCCCAGGTCCCGACGTCAGAATTAGCGGCGGACCGGGCCGACGGTGTGATCAACTTCAATGCAGATTTATTTCGAATTGAAAGGGGGAAAGAGATTTTTGGCATTTTTATCAGTGTCCTTTTCATCTCCCTGCGTGGATACCAAGGCGTACAAATGTTCTCGGTGATGGCAATTACATTTAAAAAGGCCTTTGCCTCAGAGCCCGAGGTGTAAGCTACATTCTGCAACTTGTTGAGGCAAACACCGAGAGCACTAGCGAGCGATATCAAATCCCGAAAACTCGCAAGCTTGTGTCAGGAATTTGTAATCTAGAGAGATCGGGAAACCCTGAGACTCTCAACAAGACGTCGGGGTCTTGGCGGTCTGACCTGATTCAGGCTGTTGCAGGAAAGGCGAGAGCCGCGTTCTCTCTATTGTTAGCCTTGGTATGCATCTA